GCAATAAATGAGTTTCAGCAAGGACACCCCCTCTGCTTAGACATGAAATGCCACTGAACTGCTCTCCTCTGCCAGTCTTTCACCTTTCAGTAGCATTCAGCTTGCACTTACTTCATGGTCTGAAGCAAATCCAGTCTGTGTGGTGAAGCATTCATGCAGCTTCCTTGAGGAGCAGAAATTTTTCAGAAACTCATCAGAGCACTCAGGGTTTTTCACAAATTAGTTTCCTGATGTAAGACTCAGTATTTCCATCCCACCTCCAACTAAGGTTTTGGAAGGTTTTTGTTGTGTGGGAACAGGGGTGGAAACAGAGTTATCCCTACATCCTCTATATATATCTTTTAAAAAAATATTTATCTAGATACCAAGTTCAGTAGGTTTTAAGTTCCCCTTCAGATTCACTTTAAGACTCCCGCTCACCTCTTTCTCCTCTCCTCCTTTCAAAGTAATAAATTCCTGATATTTTATAAATAGCGTTTTAAGAAACTGTTGTCTGTTCCTGAGTGCTGTGTGAGATGATGGATGAGTTCACAACACCTGTTACTGCTACATACATGGAAGTCATTTCCCCCTGCCTGTTTCACTGAAATCTGTTCTTTTCTCACAAACACTCTGCTCCCATTACCAGTAAATATCTCCTAGATAAGCTTTGTAAAGGTCCATAACTATTTAATAACTTTCTCTTTGTACACCAATAAGATAGATTAGTGGAAAAAAAAAGGTGTACAACCAATTTAAATTGAAGCTATTCACACAGATAGACAGACCAGCAGATGAAACTCCTCATGCCATGAAAAAGTTTTATCTTTCAGTGCAGAGAGTTAGCACTAAATGTGAGTCCTAACAAAGCTCATGCTATTCCTATAATTAAGGCTAAAAGAGAACTTTTGTGATCCACAACAGTATACTTCCATCTGCACAGAATTGAGTTTTCTTTCTAAGCAATCCTGGAGGTTACCTGATTGCTCAATTAACCTTAAAAAAATGTTTACAAATGTCTGTACTTACCTCCTCCTCTAGACTAATTTATCATCAGAAATATTCACTGAAATAAATTTTGTAATTAGTAAGAAAAAATCACAAGAAGTAATTTTATAATTCCTACATTTCATTATTCATCTCCAAATATGGTTTATAATAAATTGCATTCATCTAAACAGAGAACAGAAATATGAGAGACTAATATATACTGATAAATGTAATCGAGGAAAAAAGTTCATATTTGGACACCCATAAAGAAGGCACCATACAGAAGTTTCTCCAGAACTCCTTTCCAATAAGTTGAAAATCTTGAGTAAAGGAGTAGCAGACACTGAAATGTATTTTAATGCAGTTGCATTCGACTAAGATAATAAACATCGTGTGTGAAATACATACAAGTAAAAAACCAAAACTACCAAGATATTTTAATAGTGCAGTTGCACCATAAGACCAAACAGGAACTAAGGATCAGCTGATGAAGATGCCTTAATAAATTAAACATTCTATTTCAGTACTGTAACCACTGAAAAATGCAAAGGGTAAAGAGCATCAAATATATCAGATTCTCACAATTTCTTTTACAGAACTACTAAGGAAAAGGCATAAACCTGCATTTTAATGACTTAGTTTTGCATATGTGAAATGAAATTCATGAAGGCAGAGAAAATACACTGAAGCATCCAAAAGAATTTTAAATGTTTGTGATAGATATGGAGGAACACTGGAACAACTGAAATAGAGAAAAGTTTTAAACGAGTGATTTCTAGATCAAAGAACAGAGTTTGCAAATCTCTTCCCACGTATGCAAAGCTCCAGCTGAAACCAACTGGACTACTCTCAGGACCAGAGAACTCACGCCTGGAGGGCACCATGCCAAGATCAATGCCACGTTTGCCCTGCACTTTAAGTAGAATGAGAATCATGTCCCTCTTTTGACGAGTGTTGTGCTGAGCACATATATTTCTGAGTTGTATGGATAATAAAAACAACAATACTTTGACATGGTGTAGAAAATAACAAGGAACATGCCGAATTCAGATAAGCAATATCCAAAATGTTACAGGAAAATTACAAAATCATGACTGAGCTCACTAAATTTACACTAAGTTATACAAGTCGAGGAATAAAGCTCTTTGAAAAAGTAATTTTTAATTTCAGTCAGTCCATTTTCAAGGCTTATTTCTTAATATTCTTATGTGCCCAAATGAAATGCCACCTATGGAAATGCCCATGAGAAGAGAAACTCCTTTTGACTACATTTTTGTGGTAAATGGTTGCAAAATAATTTGATGTGCAAGAGTCAAAGGAGGGATTGTTGCCAAGCTTTTGAAATCAGAAACAGTTTCTTTGAGGGACATTTGTTAGAGGGACAAACAAGGGACAATTTCATCACACAAGAATTGGCTAAACAAGAAAGAAACTAAAAGTTTATCAATTAATTATCTTCCTGAAAGATCTGAGACAGAAAAGCATATTTGAAATAAAATTAACTCATCTCATCTTCTCAGGATGAAAAGGGGGAAGGAAAGGCAGAGGGAGTACTGAAAAACAGGGAAATACAAGGTGAGTCTATAATGCTCCAGCCACAGCTAGGAAAAGCTGTTCTGGGTGAGGTTGGTGGCTGCCTTAGCAGGGACTTACTCGTGAAAAGTTACAGTTCCAAATTCCTGACCAAGCAAAGTAATGAGCCGTGAACTCAGGTACTTTGGGGGCACAACTCCTAAGCCTCATTATGGATTCGTTTCACTTGGACTCCAAATGGATCCCTGCTAAACACATCGAGCTGCTGGATCACAGGCTGATATAGGCTGTCCTGGAGTTTCCTTAGGAGTTTCTTTTCCCCTACTGGACTAGGTATAAAGAAAGGCAAAGCAAGTCTGTCTGGTTATGCACCTGGCATACATTCCTCTGTCCGTGGAGACAAAGTATCAGAAAGGGAAAAATAGAACATTTTTCAGTGACCCTGACATTTGATACTGATGCAAAAAAGGAAAGGAATTACAGTGTTTGAAGCCAAAAGCATGAAGTTTCTCTATATTTCCTATGATTTAATATCTCTCTCCCCCACATATGGCAGATTCCTTTATAGAAGCTCTTGAAGATGGGCCAACAGTGCTCCAGCAATGTCTCTGATGATACAATGGAAAGTTTCTAACCACAGTATCATTTGCAGCATTTCTCATTTATTTTATCCCCAGTCCCCAAAGACATGTCTTTTCTGATAGAATAAATGTTTCTTTCCACTTTTTATGAATAGAATTGAAAATCTATTTGATAACCAAATGAATTAAAAGAGACAGAGTCCAATTATTTAGGTCTATATGAAATCTGTTTTAAAAGCTGGCTCCCATCTTTTACTCAGTCCAAAAGATAAAAAAATCAGTGATGCTTAAAAAACACAGTACCTGTTTAAGCAGATTTGTAAGTTTATTTTTTTTTCAGTGACAAATATGAAGGTAAGAATTTGAGACATCAGACCTTCCCTGTACAGCCTGTCCTCCTTACTAACAGGGCCTCTACAGGAGGGCACTACTGCACAGACCAAGCGATAATTCAGGGTTCCTGGCTGTAAGGTCCAGTCACTGCTTGGTTTGCCACACCAGCCCCATTTTCAGACCAGCTCTCAAGCTCTCATCCTGGCCTAGAGAAGCAGTTCAGTTTGTGCAGGAGTTAATCTGTTTGCCACTGTATCACCAAAATCTAACCACCATGACAAAGTATATAAAAAGGCACATGCTGCTTTGCAGCCCTCTGCAAGTTTAAAGAGAAAAAAACTCTCACTGACTTCAAGAGACTTCAGATCTAACCCACAGTGGAACAGCTTCACTCCTTTTTTCAAGAGAAATGAAATGTAAAATATCATCTGATTATTCAGGCTTGAGTCTGATCTCACAAAGAGTATGCAGACAATCTATTGGGCTGGAGCTGCAGAGGCTGGCGGTGGCACTGCAGAGCAAGGCACACTGTGCTCAGGCTGGGAGCTGGCATGCCCTGCCCTTCCTCTGGACAGGAAAGCAGAACCTGACCCACTCCCAGCTGAGCTGAAGCATCACCCAGTCATCTGCATAGATGCTCACTTTCATAAAAATTGTTTAAAGCCAAACACTTGACAGCCATTTGACATGCTGTGGGTAGGGTTTGTGCCTCACAGCCTTAGAGGTGAGTGCAATACTCTACGTATCATAATCCTGGAATATCAATGTTTAACCATGTTGTAAAGCTCTTTAGTGAGAAAGTAGTATATGCTTTCAACTAAATGGCTACAACCTGGAGCTACTCTCCAGCCTGAGGACTGGGGCAATAAAATGGTTTTGTGTGACAAACTATCGGGAGAGATTTGCTGGTGCTGTTAGTCAGAGTGCAGAATGCCCAGTGCATTCAGAAGCCTCCCTTAAGGAATTAATGCTTGATTGTTTTGCCATCCAAAGAGTGTTTACAGAAGCCAAAACAACCATGCTTGCTGTCCACTGTGCAAAGAGGTGATGACATCAAGAAGACAGGTCACAAGTCTGAGTTTATAGACATTACACTCATGTTGGTATGGCTTTTCATCCACTCAGTATGATCTTATGACCCCACAACTTTACAACCTTCCCCTCTCTGGGCTTCATAGCACCTCTCCACTCTAGGTTAATCATTTCTCTGCCATTATCTGCCAACAGTTCTTATCTCTTTTGCTGTCACTTTATAACAGGGTCTCTTATCAAGCTGTACTAAATCACGTGATGGTGCCAAACCTATCACAAGTTGCAATTCTTCTGATTAGAGACTATCATGAAATGGGATACATGGTTTACAGCAGGTCACTAATGCTGGAAAAAGTACAGAGTCCACTCAAAGACATGCTTGTTACTTTCTGAATTCTTGGATATTTTTTTTGTTGTTGTTCATCACGCCGACTTTCACTGAAGGCTATCATAGCCTGAGTCTCAAGGCCAGAAAAGTTTACAGGCTGCACCTCTCCTGTACTCAATGCTGTACCCCTTGTACCCAAGGGTACAGTATATTCACACCTAATAATGTCTTCTGGTTCTCACACAGCCACCATACAGGAATCTATAAAACATGGACTTACATCAGCTGGTAAGTAACAGTTTTCTAACTGTTTTGAAGATTCTGTGTAAATATATTAGATTTCTGGGTATCCAAACTGAAAAAATCACTACCATTGGGTGAGCCTATGATTAATTTGCACATATACTTAGGCTAGAGAGAATATTACAAAACCATGTAAAAATATAAGAAAACAGATGATGATCCATAGAGTAAGAATTTTCTCTAGAGATAATGCAATTATCAAATATATATAATTAGATAATTAACAGTATTTTTATCCATTATGATTTATAATAACTGTGAAATTGTGCATGTGCATGTAGAAACATTTGCAAAAATTAGATTTAAATTGCTTCTGGCCAGATAATTCATATTGAAGAAAACCACAGGAATGGTTTTGTCTTTGCAGTGATACTGTGGTTTCTGTCAAATGCGGATTCTTTCTTATAGCTGAAAATGTCATTCAGTGGGAGTGGGCTGGGTAATAGAAGTCAGTTAAGACTTCAGAGCAGCAAAGTGAATACTTTCAGTAGCATATGGAAACAGCACCCGCTCCCTGTCAGAAAGCCATCAGGCACAGGTTGCTCTGGCTTGCAGGCACAAGGGGCATTGCACAGCCAGATGTCCCAGGCTGTCCCAGGCTGTGGTGGCTGTGGCCGAGCCCCAATGGGTGTATGTCCCCACCACCTCCCTGCCCTTCTGCACACATTTCCTGTCTCAGGCCACTCTGTCTCTCACCACACACCTGGAGCGAGGTGTCTTTCCCTGTCCCACCAGGCTGTGCCCAGGCTGAAACTGGGGCCAAGCATGCCTGCAGAAGGCTTACCAGAGGAAAACTCTCCTTCATGGAGCAGAAGGCACTTCACAAGCCAAACTAGCAGTGCTGCAGGTTCCACAGCCCAGGGTTTTGCAAGGCTGTGCCTCAGCACAGCATTTCCTGGCAGGGATGAAAGAAGGGATCTTTGGCCCACAAGCGGAATCAGGGCACGCTTTCCTCCTCTTGCCCCAAAGTGCGTCATCACAGGGCAGGTGAGGAGTTCACCCTGATGCTGGGTGTGATGTGGGCACCTTGCCATCAAGGGAGGCTTTGGGACCGTGGGGATGGAGGGCACAGCAACAGCTGCAGGAAATTGCCTCAAACATAACTGATCTTTGTCTTCTGGGTAGAGCTGCTGCTTCTCCCAGAGAAGGGCTCCCACTTTGGACCCAAGCGTGTTTCAGCGAGATGTCCCCTCAGAGTCCCTGTGCCTCCCTACAGGTGTGGGGTACTCCTCTGCACAGCTCTGCCCCCAGAAACACACGGAAAAGGTGGCAAGTCAGCTTCCCCTCCAGGTCTTTCTCTAACTTTTCCTCTTTCTGGTTGCCACAGAGGGCCCCTCTGCCTCTCTTTCCTGAGGAATAGTAAAATAATTATACATCTCATTTATCTGAAGAGTGGTTACTGAGACAAGGTTTCTTAAGGTGAAAGGATGAAACCCTAGGAGAAGGGAAAATAAGACACTCACCTGTGATATTTAGACCAATTAAATGCCATTTTCATAGTTTCCAGAAGACTGGCAGGTCTCAGTTCCCAAAATCATGTGGATATGAGAAATGACATTGCTACAGGCAGTAGCAGAGACTCTTGTCACCATATCACTAATACATGTGCTGTGTCACAAAAATACCAGGACAGATTCATACAGCATGGCCCAGAAACAAGCAGGCCTAAATCTTGGGAAACTTTCAAAAATCCTGTGTACTCTGATTCAGGGGAAGGATTCTGTCCTTCCATGACACTGCTGAGCCAGAACCCATGGTAGCATCCCTGAAAAACTCACCTAACTCAGCATTGTGAACTGATCACCACGTACCTGTAAGGGTTAAATGGAACCCACACCAAGGGTTGGGTTCCATTTAACCCTTACAGAGGGCCTCTGCTTGGAGCTGGGGGAACCAAATAGGAAGTAGCCAGATTCTGTTCTTATTTGCGCTGGAGAGTAGTTCTTTAGAAAAAAAAGCTGTCCTCCCAGGTTAGACGTACAATAAGCAGCAGGGTCACAGGCTCGTAAGAGTAAATCCTATCCCCAGGCTTTTGCTTTTGTCCTGTCCTTTCTGGCATTCTCCTTCACTTTTCCCTTTCTAACCAAGGCAGAGTGGATGGGTTTCTGAGAGGCTGCCACAGCCTCTGCACCCTCATCCCACCAGCCCCTCAGGGCAGGTACACTTGCTGCTTCCCACCACAGGGGCTGAGTCGCCCTTGTCAGGGAGCATTCTGTGCATTTCCCCATCTGGCAATAAGTTAGTTTTTGTTATAAACCACTGACATGTCACAGCTTCCTCCCAGCAAGGAGGGCATCTTCCAGCTCCCATGAATGCAAATCAGACTCCACTGGTATAAATAGCAGTGGACCTCTCCCTTGGAGGGCAAACACAACCAGCCTGGATCTGGAGTGTGAGTGATTGTTGACACCTGCTTTTAGGTTTATAGTCATACAATCAAAAAGGCAACCAGAATTCACAAAATCTTAATGGTATATCCTATCTTCCAGATGACAAACACCATATGGACTTATAAATGGTTTTATGGAAGTGCCATGATTTTTTTTCTTCTACCAGATTCTGAGGCAATACAAAGATACTTGACTAGTTTTATTTTTCCTCGAATCAGCCTCTTGTCTTAGCATCATCAGGGACATTATGCAATTTTTAAAAGCATTAGCTATGATTATTTAACAGAAATAACTGTTTCATTTACTTTTTAAAATGGTTATATAAGAGGAAAAATAATCTACTTGTAGTTTACAACTGTGATATTTTTCAGCTTGTAGAATACTTTCTGCCGTCTTCATTTTAATGTATGTCCTCAGGCAATTAATAGTATTCAAATTAGGGCTCATGAGTTTGGCAAAGTTAGTTTTTATGTTTAGTAGTAATAGGAATAGTAGCATTTTGATGTGATTAACAAAGACAGCATATACGATCTTAAAAAGTTTGGATCAGGATTTTGGCCAGCATTTATGCAGACAAAACTTTCACAGAAGTGAACAGTTTGAGCTGTGTGAGGACTGTAAGATATGCCATAAGTTGTTTTCTTCTGTCATTGGACTTTTGCTGTTACTCTTTTATCAATTTTCTTCCCACTTTTCCTGTCCTTATTTGCTTATACTGCAAATGAGCTATCTACAAAAGGAGCAGCATTTACATTTACATCCAATTTTTTTCTGTTAGTCTGATTTTAAATACCACAGTACATGACGCAAAGATGATGCCTGTGTGAGGGATCGCTTCACTACTGACAAAAGCCTCAAGCTTCTTCTCTGTGAGGGTAATTTAAAGGTCAGCTCTCAAACTTGTCTTATATATATAGGGTGAAAATGAAGAAGTGTCTGCAGGAGGATTTGTGTGCATCTGTCTTGTGGGGAAACCCATTAAAACTTCTCATGATAGATCATTATTAATGTCTAGAGTTTACTCACATATTACATGAGTACATATATATATTTATAACCTTATATATTAACATATATTGTTAATACATCCTTATGTGCAATGAGCAGACATGCAAATGTACACAATCCTTATCAAGATTTCTCAGTGTAAACTATGCCTAGTTTATCTTCTCATAGTTATTATTTTACATTATGTGCGGATAAATCTTGGGACAAATAGCTATGTATGAGCTTAAACTTTTTTCATTATAAAGATCAGCTATAAAAAATATTTTTAAATAAAGTTTTCCAAGCTTTGAAACATGAAGGGAGGGGGAGGGAAGAAGCAGACCTAAACCATCTCTTTTTTCCACCAGCAGATCAAGGTCAATTGCCTCAGCAAAAGAAATTTCATTTTTAAGCCTGTCTGTGCAGGATAGAAATCAATTATCTCTTATGATACAGAGACCGGCGCTCAGCCCTGACGGGAGCCTTGCGGTATATACAAATATATTTGGAGTTCTATTCCCAGACTAAGCTCTAGCTTTTTAACTAGAGGTTCCACACTCGGCTCCAAAAGGGTAGCACAGACAGAAACAGAATCGCCTCATCAGAACCGTAATGATCAGTGCTGGGAAGGGGCGATGGGATGGCGGCGGAGGGGAGCGTGGGGATGATCCGGGCAGTCCGTCGGCCGCCGCGGGCCAGCGGCTCCGCTCCCGGGCGCGGAAAGGAGCCCCGCTGATGGATTCGCCTCCCCGCCTCCGGCTGCGGGGGAAGCCGCCGCCCCCGCGGCAGACAGCGGCGATCAGCGAGCGCGTTTCCCCGTCGCACCATTAGCGGCAACACCATTGCCCAGGCAGTGCGGAACTAAAGGCGTTTTCCATACAGAATTCATGTCATTTCGGGGCGGGAAGGGGAGGGGGGAATTTCTAATAGACTCCCTGCTTGCAAAACTGGATCTTTAAGTGTTGAATGAAAGAGACCTGATGATGGGATCGATCCAGGGAAGCCGTGCCGCCAGCCCTGAGCACGGCTCACCCCGTCCCCAAGGGCGCCCGGGCATGCCTTAGCCCTTCCACGCCTTCCAGTTAGTTCAGCACAATGTCGGTGGGAAACTGCCTTGCAGCAACAAGTGCCGGCCGCCCCTGCCCCCAGGCGTGCGGGCCGCCCCGCGGATGGGAGCGCGCCCCGGGCGGGCGATGCTCACCGGGCCACGGCGGGGCCCCGAGCCGGGCGGGAAGGAGCAGACGGCGGCAGGACGCGGTGAAGTGTTACGACACCTCACTGATGACTCACTTACCAATAAAAGAAAGGCAATCAGAGCGATGCTTTACCACCCACTTGGCCCTGCTCGCTCCTCTCTCCGAAGTCTCCTGTCATTCTGCAGCACGCTGCTGCCAGGTGCTCATAAAAGCAGTGCATTCCGACGGGCAACAGGAGCTTGGCCGAGCTTGAAAAATGGCTTTTCGGTCAATAATTGACCGTTTGGAAATGGCTCTCTATGCCGGACCAGAGCGGAACGACGTCTCTGTAAAGCAGAAATGAATGATTAGCTGTATAAAATGAAGGCAACAGGCACAGACGTGGTCCTCTGTGGCGTGCGTTTTACTACAAAAATATTTCAGTCTGAGGCATTCACTCTGTTTTGCTGAGAGTGATCAAAACCAAACTAAACAAACAAACAAACAAACAAACAAAAAAGAAGAAGAAGAAACTGAAAAAATGAGGGGGAAGTGGGAAGTGTATTTTTGTGTTTGGAGTGGGTTGATTTAATACATTAGGGATCTTTTTTTCTGGGTTGTTTGTTGTTTTGTTTTTTTCTAGAAGGCACAGTTCCTTTCCCAAAGCCTGAGTTGGAGGCACTAGCAATCTCCATTTAATGAATCCCAAGGAACTGAATGCAATATCGCCTGGGCAAAATGATGAAAGGAGATCGTTGGCTATGAGGTTCGGAAGGTTTTGAGGTAGTCTGCTCTTTGTACTGTAGGGATGATCTGCTTATGACAGGAGGAGAGGAGAGGAGAGGAGAGGAGAGGAGAGGAGAGGAGAGGAGAGGAGAGGAGAGGAGAGGAGAGGAGAGGAGAGGAACTTTATTTGCCATGCTTTTCCTGATGTAAATAGTCTCGTAAAGTTGGGCGTGACAGGTGTGTGAGGTCAAGCAGCAAAACCGCGTTCGGAGCTTCCCCAGCTGCACAGATCCCGTGCCGGCCGCACTGCCGCACGCTGCCTTCGCCGGGGCGCTTCTCGAGGCAGCGCCACTGCGTGCCCGTGGCAGTGACAGCCTGTGCCCGACGCTGCGTGTCTATGCCGAGGACAGGATGCGTGATGCTGACTCCTTCCCCGAGCCTGGCTGAAGTCACTGTTTGCACTGAGTGATGGCTCAGAGCGGCTCTGCACCGGCGGCAAACGGGAATGTTCAGCGGGAGAGAAAGGGAGACAGGATGAGGATTTCCCTCCTTAAATACTTCCCTTTAAGTCTTTTTGATTGGTTTTGGATTTAGACTTCCCAGCGGAAGAGTTTCAGTTCTCCGCTTATTTATCTATTTCATTTGTTTCTGGGAAGTTTTTCTTGAACATCCACCACCCCGCCTCCCCCGCTCATCCCACCCCACAAATGCTCTCTTTCGCTTCTTTGCTGGGAAGGTAAATAAAACCTTCTCCGGGACACCTCCCGACACAAAGCTGGAAGAGATCATGCTATTTGTTTTTCATCGAGATCACTCCAAGCTGGAAATGTCTCTGCTTAGGGAAAAAGACTTGGAAATTTGCTGAGGTTCTGTGCCTTCTTGGAAGCTGTAAGCAATCGGAGCTTGCCTTGAAATATCATCACACGGAAACCTCTGCTTTGGAAACAGAGGTGGAAAAGCTGCAGATTACTTAACATTACAGAATGGGGTTTTTAAAATGTAAATGTACATACATTTAAATAGGGAAGTATAAAGTATTCCAGGTCTTGCTCCTTGTACTAATCAAGGCTGCTGGAAGCTCCCTGAGCCATCATCTTTTCTAATTATAATTACACGCGTCAATCAAGACCTTCAGGCAAAGTCAGAACAAGGCAGGCAAACTCAGGAGAGAAATCGCATTAAAAAAAAAAAGTTTGGAGAACTTGGTAAGGAATGGAGAAGAGATTAGAAGAAAGGGTAATTAAGGTTGCTCAAGGCAATCGTGAGAGCTAGAACTCCATGTTAAATTAAATGTAGCCACAAGGGACCAGGTATCATTTATAACATGTACTGCCCTAAACTGTTACTTCGGAGAAATGTGGATGTGTAATAACCACTCCAAAGTATTTTCATCCATAGCGATAGCTCGCAGAGTTACTTTGCCATGTACAGTTGGAACTCCCTCCAAACAATTCCCTGGCAGAATGGCACTAAGCCCCTGAGTAGGAGGGAAGAGCCCGGGGACCGGTGCTAGGGCCGCGCCCGCGGGGGAGTGTTGCCCGCTGGGGCACTTAGCCGCGGTGCCCGCGGGGGCCGCGGCCCGCCTGAGCTCCGCAGCACTCGGGCTGGTTTCGCCTGCCCTGTCCCGGATGCGGCGTTTCCTTCCCCGGCTTTTCCCCAAAACGCAGCTGCCTTCCCGGAGCAGCAGTAACGAGAGCGGCAGCAGGGAGCGCCCCGTCGGGGAATCGCCAAGCGGCGTGACCCACCCGGCGGCGAGCGAGAGGGAGGGGACCGGTTGTCCCCGATGGAGCCCAGCGGGCTGCAGGACCCAGGTCCGCAGGTGTCCTGATGGTCTGCTGTAAATGCGCTTGGAACTGTGCCCTGATGACTCTTCTCCTGCGGGGCAGGGCTGCGAGGAGATGCCGCTCCTCTGCGAGCCGCCCCCGGAGCGCTCCGGCCGCCCGTCGGGCCCAGGCGGTCCGGCCGCAGCTCGGAAGGCCGGAGGGCCGCGGCCCCGCCGCGAAGTGGAGGCCCCCGACCCGCAGCCCTCTCGGCGGGCGCCCGAGGGAGGGAGCGGAATCGGCGCTGTGCTGCTGTCGCCGCCAGTGTTGAGCCGCCCGGGATCAGCGCAAGGCGATGCTACACGGTGGCGCCTGACAGAGGGAATGTTTGTAACTAATGCACCTGGGAATAACTTCCCAAGGGCCGAAGGAGGGTCTCAACTCGAGCTACTTCTGCCCAGAAACGGGGTCATTCTCTCTAGATGGTTTTCAGCCAACCCGTCTTAGCCGTCGAACTGCTCGGTCCCGCATCTCGCCATGTTGCTGTCCTAAAACTTATTCGCAAAGGGCCTGTTTAATTGTAAAATTATAACTTGAGTAATAACGTGTTGGTATCGTTCGCCCGCTCGTGCTCCCGCCCGAAGGCGAATGGCGGAAGGTGAGAGTGGAAGGAGACAGAGAGGTCCGGGCCTCTCTGAGCGTTGGATCCATCCTCCAAATATCAAACGCTGCACAGAGAAGGGAAAAAGACATCTTCTACGCCGGTGGTGCTGACGTTGGGTTGGCTAGGAATTTGCGTTGAGTTAGCAAAGGTGTCCCAGCTACTGGTTGCAAAAAGTTAAGAGCACAGCCGAGTTCGCTCTCTGCATGTGGAGCGCCTGTGCCAGCGCGGGTTCACCCTGCGATCATCAGCACTGCTAAATAAGTTACAACAACCGCCAGTTTTCACTATCGCTCTCCCAGCCGATGGGAAATGCCATACTCCGCGATGGAGATACTTCCGCGCCTCACTTTCCATCGGAAGCAGTTTTCACCGCCAAACATTTTCAGCTTCTCCAACACTTTATACAGATTAAAGAGTCAGAGGAGAACGGGCAACCGAGCGCTCGGACGAAGGGCTCGGATGCTTTCCAAGGTGCAAATATCGCTCATCCCACACCATCAAACCTATGCGGCGCAGTAGGAACGGCGCGGAACCCCCCGGGCCCTCCCGGAGAGCGGGGCGAAAAGGCCAACGAGGGCAGGCAGACCTCCGGCCCGGCTCGCCGGGCGGTCGGCACCCAGTTGCCCCCGGAGCCCCCGCAACGCCGCGCCGCGGGACCGCTCGGCTCTCGCCGCTGAGGCACACACTTGCGAGAAACGAGTTCTTTAGGACAACTTGGAAAATAATGCCGCTTGCTGCACTGTGAGCCAGGGAAGGGGGGCTCAAGCGATGACTCTGCCAGGGCTTTGGCTTCTGTGCAAGGGAAGAGACTAGCACTGACCGATTTCGCACGACGCTTAGGGAAGGGAGACCCAAAAAGCCTGAATAAGCACAGCGAGCTCCAACACGGTTCCCGCTTGCTTGTTTCAGACTCCAGGGCTGCGCGGCGGCAACGTGTCCGCAAGGGCAGAGGTTTCCGCTGTCCACCCCCGCCCTCCCAGAGGGAGGGCGAGGGCCGGGGTCTCCGCAGCCGGCGCTGGCCGGGCGGAGGCATTGCCCCACCGGCCCCAAGAGAGATTGAGCGTGGCTGCCCACTGGCAAAGAGACACGGCCGCTGAAGGCAGTGCAGGCTTAGCCCGGCTTGGCGAGGCTGGTAGCCCGTCGGGCTCCGCTGGGGTTGGAAGGGGAGGCAACAGGCCAGACCCTCACACCGCAGCCCCGTTTAAGAACCGGGTAGGGGTGACTGCGCTGGGCCACTGTGTGTGCTCTGCACTGTGTGCGCTGGGGGTGTTGCTCATCCCGCCTCTCCCTTATTGGCTGCAGCGGCAGTGTCGGGGCCCCCCTCCGCCGGAGTCCTCGCTCCCCACAGCCCCCGGGCTCCCGGAGCGCCTCCCCGCGGGCCCGGGGCTAGAGGTCCCGACTCGGCACCTCCGCACTTGTACCGGGGGGAAAAAGGGGAGGAGGAGGGGGAGGGGAAGGAGAAGGAGGAGGGAGGGAGGAAGGGAGGAGGGGGACGGGGGTGGGAACCCTGGCCAGCAGCACCAGCGGCGGCAGAGTGCTCCTGTGCACTGTGCCGCTCCGCATGGATAGGGGCGCCGGGCTGCCGCCGTGCTGAGCCCCGGGCGGAGCTGCTGCGGGCTCCCGGGGTTCCTCCTTCCTCCCCAACACCCCCTGTCTTCCTCCTCCTCCTCTCTCCTCCGCCTCCCGCCGCCTGCAGCTCGACTACCACTCCGCGGCTCCCTTAGCCGCGGGCACCCGGCAGCTCCTCCCGGCGGCCGGGGCCGCTCGGTACTCCCGCTGCAACTGGGCAAGGGCTGGCGTGGAGCAGAGGGAGGGAAAAACAGGAAGAGGGGGAAGAGGCAGCAGCCGCCGAGCGCCCCTTGCTCCAGCTAAATCTGTGCTGCCGTGTCCAGGTGCTGGTGTCGCGGACGGACACGGAGCCCCCAGCCCGGCCCGCAGCCGCCTTGTCATGCTACCCAAAGTGGAAACGGAGGCCCTGGGACTCGCCCGGTCGAATGGGGAACAGGGGCAGATGCCGGAAAACATGCAAGGTAAGGGGGGAGACGCAGGGCGCTCCCCCTCCGCGCACGCTCGGGTTTCCCTCGGCAAAGCGCCCCTTCGTCCTGCCAAAAAAGTTTGAGGCAGTTGCTTGCGAGCTGCCCCGTCACCGCCCGCTCCGCGCCCCGCCGAGCCCCTGCCTTCCCGGGCCGGCTTTCAGGGCGGCTCGATCGAGGACAGGGGGCCGGGCTGCCAGGACCGAGGCGACGACAAAGCCCTGCTCAGAAGGTGCAAACGGGGCCGAGAAACTGCCAAGCATCTGGCCTGCGAGAGCCTACCCTGGGGTGCAGACGTCCCGTCGGACGCTGCCCGGCCCCGCTGCAGATCCAGGGGATCTCGGTCTAATCCCCATTCCGCGCAAAACTGCCTCGAAGTTTGTGGCAGGTGGAGGTACGCGTGGAAGTTCTGGCGAGCACCCTGCGTCTCACACGCCGTCCCGAAACGGGACCCGAGGGCTCTGTCTCGCGGGTGAGGCGCCCACAGGCACCGTGCAGGTGGTAGCGGCGGTGTAGCGAAAACTTCTCAGGAGCTCTGTGGCGGATTTGCGGGGTACCCAGGAAGGCAGAGGGATGCCCAAGCTGGGATGGTGCTGGAAATGTCTATGTCGGGCGGCGGGACCGGGCTGTTCCCGGTGCCATACTCGGGGCCGGAGCAGTGCGCGGAGGGAGGCGGCGCAGACCCCGCTGAGGGTCGGCTCCCTGCCTTGGAGCCCGGTATGGCCGCCCCGCCCCGCGCGACTCTCCCGGGGCAGAAACTCCCGTCCCGGCTGCTCTTTAGAAACTGTCCCATCTCCTCTTGGGAGCCTGCTGGCAAGGAGAGGCAGGGTGGGCCGGGGGTTTCGGAGGTGCTGGGAGCGACCCGACCGCCCCTTTTCTCTCCTGGGGAGGATGCTCCGTGCAAGGGCGCGGCGCTCGGAAAACCCCTGCTTTCCCACTCTTTCCTACGGGGAGGACAACCTCGTCCCAGACCCTGGAGCCGCGACCGCGGGAGCAGAGGGGAGGGCCGGGCCCTCCTCCTCCTCCGCCTGTGGCCGCCCCGTGTCCGCCCCATGCCGCTGACAGGAGGCGATCCCCGGCCGTGCCGAGGTGGCTCAGGAAACGTTTTGCCGGCAGTGTGACGGCGGGATAATGCTCCCGGGAGCTCCGGGAGCTCCCTCGAGCGCCGGGTGCAGCTCCTTGCCTTGGCAAGCCGGGCCGGGGGCTTCGGGCCGAGTCTCATCGCCCCGCTGCCCCCGAACTGCGGCAGCCGCGGAGTTAAAGACAAAGAGGCGACATCCTGAGCGGTCCCGCGGCGATGCTCAGCGCCTCTCGTCGTGTTCAGGAATCCTCCGCTGCCACAGTGCTTGTCGAAAAGGTGGGAGGTTTAGCGGCAGGGAAGGGGAAGGAAACCGGCCGTGCACTGACCAGCAAGGTTTTTTCTTAGAAGTAACCGGAGCGGCTGACCGGGCTCCTTGTGAGGGTTAGCCTGGCTCGAGTGGGCACGCTCCGGGCATTCATTCCGCATATTTTAGCCCCCCGTTCCCTCCTGACCGCCGGCTTCTCCCCGAGCGGCAGAAACTTCAGGCGGCGCCGGCGTGCAGGTTTCACGGCAGCCCCCGGTAGCGGGGGACGCCGGGTCCGCCGGCGGGGCAGAGCCTGAGCGCGTCCCCCGAGCACGGCGGCCCCGGCTCGCGTCTCTCTGCCGACACGGGAACAGCTAAAAGGCGTTTCCCCCGGACCGCGGAGCTGCCGGCTGCCACAGCCGGGGGTGCCAGCACGCAGCGCTTGCCCTGGCCCGCAGGGGTGGCGGTCATCCCGAGACTACGGGCTTGGGAGGCGCCGAGGAGGTGGTTTTAACCTGGTTTCGCGAGTAACTAACCTGGATTTCATACGGGGCAAAAGTGCTGGGGCCGTGAGATACAGCTTTAGTCTAGCTAAAAATTTGCTGGCTGATGTTGAAAGAAAACTTTAACGGAAAATAATTACTTTCAATATACAAGTGACAATCTTTTCGTTCTGCTTTTTTAAAGCTTACACCTGATCATTTTCGGATTTAAATGAATTCTTTCAGTTTGTGATTCCATAAAATAAGGACTAGGCACTAAAGGCACTCTATAAGTATAAATACTTAGAACATAAAACTTAGAAGCTGATGCATTTTACTACACTTGCTAAGTACCGTGCAGATTTGCTGATGATGGGAAGTTGAATGTCTCCATGCAATTTGTTTTTTTTAAATAAAACTTTTTTCTCCCTCTTTTCAGTGGTGTTCTTGTTTAAGTAAGCTTTGTCTCTAGATAAGAAAGTTGCAGAATATTTGAGTTAGTAATGTAAATTCTAATTGAATATGATATTTCTCCTTTCCCCCAGTGTCTCAGTTTAAAATGGTGAATTACTCTTATGATGAAGACCTTGAAGAGCTGTGTCCAGTCTGTGGAGACAAAGTATCTGGGTACCATTATGGACTTCTCACCTGTGAAAGCTGCAAGGTTCTGTACTAATCAGTCCATAAACACGAGTATAGCAAAACTGTTTCAAAGAACAAGCAGAAAAAAAGGATAATAAATAAAACAGATGTATAATATTTTGGGGGGTTTTTTATATGTTTCTTAATACATTCACGTTAAATAATTAACCACCAAAAAGCTTTAGGATGCAGAAGTCTCTTTGAGAGAGACCTCTGCACAAATGCAAATAACTGGGACTGTTTTGCATTGTACTTTTGTCACTGTTTTTTAGTATTTTGCTGTCGTGATGTAGTTCTAGAACAACTTTCATTGCTAACTGTGCTAAATACTGGTTTTAGTTGATTTATATTTCTTTTTCTGGAAGATAAAGTAGGAAGATTATCCTTCATGCAGATCAGCTTTGCAAAATCTAATGGAGCTTTCTTAAGATTTTTATTTTCATTCTTCACTATTGCAATGTCGATCTCTGTGATTATAATGACCATGCGCTTTTTTTCATGCAAACTCTGTCACTTTGACACACAAAGTCAAGTAACCAATTAACACATAGAAAGATGAATATACCTGTGTTGGTCTATTGTGCTATAAGGTTTAAATAATTGTGAATTTATGTCAGATTTTTCATGTAAAAATTTTTAAAGGGTATTTACAGTTACTTAAGCAGTGCAATGTAAGTGGAGTTCCTTTGCCAGAACAATGCAATTTAAAACACTCGGTTGCATGGAAAAATTAACTAAGCCCACTATATTTTCACTAAAAAAACAATCAATGAGAAGTGAATGACAAGCACGTACTATCCCTCCAGCATGCCCCACTGGGATGTAAAATAGCCAGAGGTACTCTGTACTACTCTTATCTTTGCAACTACTTATTTCATGTAAAACTACTTGAAAATGAAGACTTTAATAATTCTGCAATGATTTAAGAATGCGAAAGGAAGCGGTCAGTGTCACTATTTGTGCCACTGGTGTTAGAGGCATGGAAGGCTACAGCCTCCTTAAAGTCTCACCAAGCTTTGATATTAAGTCTATAAAACATAGCACTAACACAAGAAAACCTCCTTTGCAATCTGGTGGCTATCTCCTGGGCTCAGCTGGCTAATTTAAAATAAACTATGTAACTTTGTAAGTGCTTGAATGGCTTCTGAAAATTACCTTACAATGAGTTCCATGAAATGCTGAATGAAACACACGTTCAAGCAAAACAGGCTAATTTTTGTGTCTGTCATACAGGGATTCTTTAAGCGAACAGTCCAGAATAACAAAAGGTACACATGTATAGAAAATCAGAATTGCCAGATTGACAAAACACAGCGAAAACGATGTCCTTACTGTCGATTTCAAAAATGTCTAAGTGTTGGAATGAAATTGGAAGGTAAGAGCTATAGTCTTGTTGATATCTTCAACTATACTATAAAATTATAGGATAAGATGTTAATGCATTGTATTTTATATTAAAAAGTTATATAGTTATGGCTTTGAAATGTTAACAAAAGGTTACTTTGTATGGTCAGTGAAATTGTTGCTTTATAAAAAAAATCTAATAAGTAAATGGTAGATTACTACCATTAAGGAAGCAGTCAAAACCATAGTCCATTTTGTCATATAAGTATATAGTTTGATATTTCAGGCTTTTCAAGTTCGTGAATTCATGGATGTAGATTGAATAATTTTGCAGCTTTTAAAAAAGACTTAATTTAGATTAAATATAAAACAACTGTCCAGATTAGAAATAAAATTATTCATTTGCTATGGAGAGTGATCTGATTTTATTTGCATTTTATCTAGGGTTGGGTTGTTTTGGTTTTTTTACATATATTCTTCATATGTAAAAAAACCAAAGGGAGAACAAAAAGAAACAGATAAAATAAGGGTTTTTCTCAGACTGACTTGCCTTTGAGATTAAGGAGCCAAATAATCTCTAAAGTTGTGTCCTATATTTTTGTGATGCTGTACCTGCAAGGCTGTTGTGATTGAAAGAGGATAAGGCATTTTGAAGTATACTTTTTGACTTCATTTCACTTTGTCATCTACAGAGAACAATGAAAAGTGTACAATACCCTTTCAGATAACCAAATGCAAAAATATCATCAACGTGAAGTTGCGAATCATGCATGGTTCATTCTAACTTTGATATATAAAATATTAAAATTCAGATTTCACAGTAGATGGCATTTTTCCTTGACCAAGGACAATTTCTTAAATTCCTTACTGTTACGACTGTATGAAGTGACATTCACCCTAGACGCTTAGCCAGAAAAAAATCAGGCCAAGGAGGAAAACTGCAAGCCATGAAGGGAACCTGAAAGGACAAGAGGCAGTCACCAGGCTCTGGCAAAGGGAAGCTGTTGATACAACTGAAGATAAACAGAAAAATCAGCCTCCTGCAGTTTGATTGATTCAATAGTGTTGTATTTGCCCACAAGACTGAGCTAGCACTGACACACTGCACTAAACATCCTGAATCATTGCATGTGCTTCCAAATTCAAACAGTACAATTACAGGACATGTGGAATCCTTTTGTCATTGTTGGCATTATGAAGAAGGATAAAATACATTTGTCTACTCCTACTTTCAACTCTTCTCACTTGCTGACAATGATACAAGACTAAACTTTGTCTTCTGTCATTACACAAAGTTCACCTTAAATTTAAGTGGGATGTATACAAAAGCACTTCCTAATCCTATTTGGCTCACAGCTTTTAATTGCAGAGTACCTGTGGGGATACTGTGTATACAGATTTAAAATTAATTACATTTACTAGTGATAAAATTAATTTAATGCATTTTGTTAAAAGTCAGCATTCAGAAGTAGTATTGGCAGCTCATTTTTCCTACAAATTCAAACAAAACACCTGTAGTTTTAAAGGTACTGCAGAAAATGTACTTTAGCTTTCTTATCTACACATCCATACAACTTCTTTTCCGCTGTTTAGAAAATTGGAAGAACATGTGTTCTCTTAATTGTAAATACTTGTGACATTTATATATGTATTTCCCTGATAGTGATATATAAAGCCTTAAAAGTCGAGTTCATAAATTACCATGAACCAAAAAAATCATTAAGCGCTAAAGTCCTTACGTGATAAGGTACAGTATTATGCGTATCTAGCATTCATAATAAATTTTTAATGTCCTACTAATCCCTAAGATAAAAAGCTCAAGAACTTAACCTCCAGCAATCTCAGCAGTCTCAACATGTCACCAGGCTGTCAAAGGTTCCTCTTTCAATCTAATTGCCGTTGGGCAAGGTGGGCTTGGTGAAAGCTCCTCACTAGTCCATCACATATATCCCATGGTGACAGAGACTGCGGTGACAGAGACCACCAGTATGACTCCCAAGGCAGCTGTTAAGTAGGATTTGTTTTAATTATTTCTAATTCCAGAGATATTATAAGCCAGAACAGTGTCAATAGTTTCTGTTTCACTTCTATCTTCACGTAGAAGGCAGCAAGCTGACAGCTTTCTCTCTGCACATTCCAACTGCAGCTAAACATTTCCATAGAGCTCAGCTAACTAGAAATCTCAAAGTTTTACACCAACCTGGACAGAATCATCAAAAGGAAATGCTTCCCTTTTGCCAAGAGAATTGTATTCCTCTTTGTGACTACTGAACATTTCACAATTTACATTTCAGATGTTTTGCTGCGGTGGAAGGCAGTAATGGAATGATTATAATGAGACAATGTGGTCTGCTGGATACGTCTCAGACAAATTCTGGACTTCAGCCCTTGTTTCTTAATGACATATTAGCTTGATATAAACCCAAATGTACATTGAGATTTCCACATGATCCCATAGCAGGTGTGAAATTCCTGTAGCCATCCATTGTGTTTGTCCCTGTGTCCTAATCAATGTACAGAGAAGTCCTTCTTTGTTAGTAATATATGCATGTGACATTTAAATCACTAGAAAAAATTGACATTTTTAAAGTCAAAATAAATCCTTTTCCTTAGGAACAAAAGTGCAACTCTGAATTTGGAAAAAAAAAAAAAGAGTTAAATTTTTACATTTCTGCTCCTTCCTAATATCTGTTTGATTACAAATGTCAATTCCAAGTGTTAGTAATGATTTACTTCCTCCTTTCCCCTGACAGCTGTGCGAGCTGACCGAATGCGTGGCGGTCGAAACAAGTTTGGACCAATGTACAAGAGAGACAGGGCATTGAAGCAGCAGAAGAAAGCTCTTATCCGAGCCAATGGACTGAAACTGGAAGCCATGACTCAGGTGATCCAAGCAATGCCAACTGACCTGACAATATCCTCTGCAATCCAGAACATCCATTCAGCTTCTAAAGGCCTACCTCTGAACCATACTGCCTTGCCTCCTACAGACTATGACAGGAGTCCCTTTGTGACCTCTCCCATCAGCATGACAATGCCGCCCCACGGCAGTTTGCAAGGCTACCAAACCTATGGCCACTTTCCAAGCCGTGCTATCAAGTCCGAGTACCCTGACCCTTACACCAGCTCACCAGAGTCAATAATGGGCTACTCATACATGGATAGTTATCAAACAAGCTCACCAGCCAGTATCCCACATCTGATATTGGAACTCCTGAAATGTGAGCCTGATGAGCCACAAGTCCAAGCTAAAATCATGGCATATCTGCAGCAAGAGCAAGCCAACAGAAGCAAACATGAGAAGCTCAACACATTCGGGCTTATGTGCAAAATGGCTGACCAAACCCTCTTCTCCATTGTTGAGTGGGCGAGGAGTAGCATCTTCTTTAGAGAACTTAAGGTAGGTAACAATTTTACATTATATTATCATTCAGTCAAGAAAAAAATACTATTTCTTACAATCTTGTACTTCAAGCAGGAAAGCACGAGGTTTTTTTTCTCCCCCCCCCCCCCCCCCCAGCATCTCATTCTTTATTTATTTGGTTTGAAGTATGCAAGCTATTAGAAGGGAAACTTGTTGCTGACTTCCACCTGAGCCTGTAATTAGCTGTAGCAAAGAGATTCAATATTCAGTTCAGCTTTTCTGTACTTCAATATTTATCACAACTATTGTTAACATCCACAGGGCCTCACATAATCCTACTCCCTCCCTGTCAGCATCGCTCACTGTCTGGCTTGAACTCAGGGTTGTAAGCACACCTGTTCCACCATTCCACATTGATTTGTGTAATTATTTCATTACCTTATTTAACATATGGGGGAATGCCATTTCTGTCCACCTCCATTCACTTTATATAAGTCCATATTTGGACTATTCAGTTTCTCAATGGGATATTATTTTATACATTCCCGTGTATCTTATTAACTGCGCAGGCTGAAACCTAAGCAGGATACACACGGAACAGAAAGCAATGTGGAAGTAGATACCTCAAGGACTCCTTTTGATTCTCATCACCACTGATACATGGAGGATTCCTTTAGTCTAGGCTGCTACAATGCTCTTATTTTTGCTGGAGCACCCAGGAAATCCTTCTGCACAGCTTTCTGGTGGACAGAAATTCCCCCATTTACGTTTTTCAGGCTTATTGTTAAAGCAGCTTTGTGGTCTGAAATTTCAAATCAGAAATTTTAAGCCAGAAATTTGAGATCAGACAATAGGTATGAACTACAGTTTTAGCCACTGTTTCGATACAAAAATCAGCTCTGGAAAGAATAATCTTCAGTCTCAAAAACACCCTCAAGATGGTGAACTAAACTCACATCTGAGTTTCCCTGTTACATTACCAGGTACTGTGTCTGTCTGCTACAGAGAGATATTTTTGCCACATTTGCTACTGATATCTGTAAAGTTTTGTGACTGCCTGTAATTTCTGACTACTTTCAAACTAAGAGAAAATAACTCAGCTTCCAAATATAACAATTACTGTAGGATTTCACTGTGAATTGAATCTACTTGAGTTAAGAGCACAAAAGGAAGATCCATTGAAAAGCTGCACTCAGAGAGCTTGCCACAACAGCATGTCTGTCATGACCATAAGGACATGGACACATGACATAAAGTCAGATTACAAGAAAAGCAAGCTGTATATGCTGCATATGCAACTCCAGCTTCTTGCCATTTTTTTGGGAGAATGGTTGCAGGAATCACTGAAAGCTCAGTCTATTCAAAGAGAAAGAAGACAGGAAGTTTACTTAGAGAGGAAAACCAAAATGCCTTAAAGACAGTAAAAGACTCTCACATGTTTGCTATCTCAGTTGTATACCATTTTGTAGTCAGCTATAAGCCATGCTACTCATTTTAAATAATTTAAAAGTTGAAATTAAGAACATGTTATATTTCCAGTAGACTATGTGGCAAATATCTGAGACCAGATTTTTCTGTCCATACACTGGGGAGTATTTTAGTCTAGACTAAGGTACTCTAGAGTTAAAAGTGACTATCTTCTATATACCTTTCAGTGTACAAACTTTTAAGTTACAATCTACCCTAAAATTTCATTTATGATTAAAGTGATAAATTTTATAAGCATTCAACATGCTGTACTGGGAACGGTTTTAAATATGACTTTCACCTCCAACTTCAGCCTGGATTATGTTCTTCAAACAACCTATGTTTACTAGTATGGACACAAAAGATGCAGAAATTTGTTTATGAAAATGCTGACCAACTTCTCCTGGTTCTGAATGTATTATACATTACCATGTAAACACAAGGTTCTGAAAATACACATATTATAAAAATTTGCTATACAGAGCCTTTGGCTTATGAACTGATTTTCACACATTTGTAGAAGGCATTGCTTTCACCTTAGTGTTGGTACCCTTTGTAATTTGGAAGCTTCGAATTCAGACAGTCTCATACCTTCTGAAATATCCTGATTATTTTTTTCAGCTGGACAAGAACAACAAAATTGCACAGCATTCCAGAACAATAACAATTCATTAAGAAATCCATCCACATCCAAAATTTAGGGACCAGACTATACACAATGCTAAGAACTTTAAGCTTTTCAGTTTCAAAAGCATATTTAGATCAGACCCTACTTTTTTAACAGCACTGAGTAACAAAATTTCTCTTTTCAGTTGAGAGGACAAGAACAATATTAAACAAAAGATTTCCAAACCTTTCTTGAATGCAGTTATCTTCTATCCATCCACAATTTCAGGTTCTTCAGATCAAGGTAGCAAAAGCAGCTATTTCAGATTTCTCCACAGGACATGAATACCTGTGGGTAAAAAAAAGCCACCTAAGACTATGACATATTTTAAATGCAGAAGGAAGGGGAGACAATTGTGATAAAAATGCAATTATATTTTCAGAACAGCAAACTTTGTTCCCTATCTATTCACAGCTGAGAAGTAGGTATTTGCTCAGAACTATATTTTACTCTTATTCCTACCTGTCTAAACAATGGAATATTGAGATGTCTTTCAGATAAGACAGGTGCATCAGCAGATTTCTGGGACTAAAAATTTAAATTACTCAAATAATTAAACAGTACAAAATTGTAAATGTGGTTTGTGTGCAATTCATCTTGGCTTTGTCATGATGAGTGATGCCTCGCACAACTGGCTGTTAGTTACTAGGAGCATGTCTACAATTATTTACTGTATCTTTTCATTATAAATTTTGTCTTACACTCTCATCTCTTCTATTAATATAAAGGAGCAATCATTTTCCTTTCTGCTAAATGCAGAGATCTGTGGTTAGCAGAATTCAGGGGGAGGATATGATAAAAAATGCTGTCCCAGTCCATCAGTGGTTTAGGCCACAATTACCCTGGAGATAACAACAAAAACCCACCACTGAGCTGCAGCTTTTAACCTTCCCTTCTTTCTTCCCTTTTGACTGCAGATTTGGGTTTTATTAAAGAAATCTCAAATGAAAAAAAATCCATTTTAAAACTTTCTGAAGCTTTGACCAGTTTAAGCTCATCATAATCTTCTCACTTGTTGATCTACAAATTTTCATTGCCTCTTTTGGAATATGTTACAATTTGAGGATGTAAAAGGGAAAAATATGGACTGTGTAGAACTACCCACAGCATGTACTGCATTGGAATATCACCTGTATGGATTTGAGTATGTAATTTAGGGGTAATTTCCACACTTACTGAGGAGCAGATCCTCTCATCTTCATGTAGGATATCAGAAACTAATGGAAAAATTAAAGAAGCCAACTAGTCAGGATTAATAATCATTCAAATCAGCCAATTGCAATCCAGTAAATTTGAATTTAACATCTGCTAAAATCTCAAACATCCTTACATGTCATGTGAAGTCAGAATACCTTGTAAGGAATAATTAAGACATAAATTCTGGGGGTTAATGTTACATATTACTTTTTTTATCCATAAGGAGGTATATTTCTGTTTGGTTCTTTATACACAGACGAAATAATACAGAGGTTACATCCCAAAAGACTCAGGATAATAGTTATAGTAATAATAGTAGTAGTAATAGTAATAGTAATTAATAGTAATAGTAAAGAAGGCCTTTGTTTGCTATTCTGGAGTTTTTGAAAGATCAGTAAATATAAAAGTAAGATATATCCATCTTATCCTCAGCTAAGAAAACTCAGGAATGCCCTGGGGATGCTAGATTTGTCGCCAGCTGTCTTAGTCAGGTGAAAGGTCTTTGTACAAAGCTAAAAAGAAAATATTGCAAGAGTTTCTAGAGTCCAAAGGCTGCCTGGCCCCAAGGAATGATGCAGGCAGCTTCTCTGGACTGGTCTTTCCTCATCAGCCCACATCAGGGAAAATTCAAAGACTGCTTCCAGAGCTAACTATTACTGAACCCATAAAAGAAAGCAGTCTCTGCCTGGAGCAGGAGAAAAACAGGACCTGCATTGAAAAACAGTCCTCAGGATACTTTCTTCTGGCTGAAGATCAGAAAAAATCAACTGAGTGTTAATAGCTACAAAAGGCACTAAAAGAATGGTGACTCACAAAAAAACTACCTTTCCTTATTTGGCTGTTTTAGTGAGGATGTCATAGGTCAAAGTACCATGTGAGCACAAACCTTGTAGTGAATGATTGCAGGAAGAACCAGCGCACTTCACGGTAAAGAAGCTCATGCTACAATTATTCACTGAGTTTGCAAATCTAGACCATTCACTGATGTCAGACTGTGTCAGTCCCAAGCCAGATTTCTTGCTGTAAGTATAAATTTGCTCATGCTTACATTAGCTGTAGCCTTCAAACAAACAGTGGTTTATCACGTATCTCCAAAGGACCCTGTCTATAGAACTTGCACTATAGATATTTTGGCAGCTCATAAACTAACAAAGGCCTAGCTTTGTCTTACATATTCCCCAGAAGTGAAACTATATTATCAGAGTTTCAACTTATTTCTGTAAGTGCAAACTTAATGTGAATAGGATTAACAGAACTCCTGGAGGCTCTTAGTTTCTTCTGTGAAATCAATTTACATAGATGTAATAATGTAATTCTTATATACAAGCTTTAATTTCAAGTTTCAGTCCATATGTAGTTGAGTACCAAGGAATGCATAGAAAGTAAGGAATTATACAATGGAAATCCAACAATTAAATGGAATTACCACAGAATAGCAAAAATTAGTTTTGGGTTCTGTTGGGGTTTTGTTTTATTGAGAAAAATATCAGCACTGAAATACCTTAAAAATTTTCAGGATGATGAAAGGTTGATACGTTATTAAGACTTAAGTAATCAAGGGCAATTTGATAACTTGAAGTGCTTTTGGACTTTGTAGTGTGTGTTTATCAGGACAGGAAATGCAACTCACATAGCTGATGAAATAAAATTTCTGCAGTGTTCTTTCGGTTACGGAAGCTGCCAGAAACTGAGGTGCAGGAATACA